CCCCAAAACCCCAAAACCCCAAAACCCCAAAACCCCAAAACCCCAAAACCCCAAAACCCCTGACAGTTTTATAAAATAATAAAATAAAATGTATAGAAGGACAGTGTTCGGAGAATTAGTGCCTGAAAACATCCCATTCTTTACTCAAGGGCCAGATGCCATGGATGCTTTCAGAGAACTGGATTCTGAGTACGACTCAGATAGTATTCAGCCTAGTGATAACCATTTGTCACCGAAGGATCCGGATTTTAATGAATCTGAAGATAAAGTCAACAGTCATATTGTGAAAGCTGTTGATAAGATGAACCACGAGTACTTCGTCACCTCTCTTGGAGGAAAAGAGCAGAAGTAAATCTTAGTTCTTAACCTACCTTTGTATCAGTTTTGAAGTTTTATTAAGGTGACTTTTTGTTGCAATATTTGCGGTCACTTATCATTCATCAATATAGACAAGTCGCTCTTACAAAAGAGTTGAAGAATACACAGAGTCAGAAAAGCACTTCTAAACAAATTCCAAGTAACAGGAAGGCACTCAATAGAGGCTCTCGAAAATTGGAATCAAGAAGAAGCAGCTGTGAGAAAAGACTACCAAAAAGAATGACATTTAGGAATCCTCAGTTATAAAGAAAAGTGGAAGTGTTCACTCAGTCCTCTCTCACAGGAGATCTATCACATCTGTTCTAAGTTTGAGGGATACTAAATAAGCTAATTGTAACGAATTGCTAATCTTGTAGAAACCTAAGTTCAAGCCTGAGTATGACCACCACTTGGTCCGACTGAACAATAGCAGGAAGCAGGTATTCGGGTACCCAAACTACATGAGTTTGCCCATCCTCAAGATCATTGAGGAAGAGCTGAACAATGAGCTTGAGATCAAGGATGATATTGAGATGAAGAATCTCAATTCGAATAATAGAGCTGGCGAGGTACGATCCCATCAGAAATTCATTCAACTCTTTTTGTCTAGAAAACTATTTAAAAAATCGAAATTCGAGGGAAATGATGAGTTCAAGAAGAAGCTGAAGAAGATCAAACTGGCCAAAGTTCTTGAGAAATTTAGGCGAAATGAGGGCAAAAAGAAGCGAAAGCAGGAGAAACGCCAATTCTACTTTATTGAGGATTACGAAGCTCAAAACCCTATTCATCACTTAGACCCTAACTATCAGGAGCTTGTGAAGGAGAAGAAGGCCAAGATGGAGTACCTTCAATCCGTCTTCAGCTTTCCTTTTGATAAGGAAAAGTTCAGGAATCATGATAGTAAGTGATTACAAAGAAAATGTGAATTCGTAGTGGAAATCCTGATCTAAACTTGATATTTAGAAAAATTGCTAAAGAGAAAATTGAATAAGATGAAACTTTATGAACAAATTATGGAGAAACGTAGAGCTTTCGACTAACTCTTTAGTGCAAAGTAATCAAGATGAGGTGGAATTAGCACATCCTTTCACATTGAGGAACCCTCAAAAGTGTAGAACTCAGCAATTCCATCGCAACCAGCTTGCGAAGAAGATAAAGCCTGAACCTTTATCCATACGGAAGAATAATGATAAACCTTCTAGAATTTCTTTTGGGCCATCTGGGGGTGAGAAAGATGCGAGCACGCCTCTTTTAACTATTGGTAAGAAGCCATTGAGTCAGTTTACGAAGATCTTAATGCGGTCATCATCTATGACAAAGAGCCAGATGAGTGATATTGGCGACCAATTCTTGAGCCCTATTCGGCAATTCAAGGATTATAAGCCTACTTTTGGTAAGAAAATAGCACTGATTTTTAGACATTATTGGGATGAATAGCTCTAAAGCTGACAAGTTCAAAAAGGTCAGGATGAAACTTCATTCAAAAGCTAAGAATAAGTATAAGATGTCCTTTAAGTAAGTTATGGCCATGCATGCTAAATTGTCACCTAGTATAGCTTGAGGCTTAGCAGGTTAAGTTAAAAGCCTTTTAGAGACGAATTAGAGGCGAAATTTTAGTCCTAAGAAGCCTTCTTATCATAGTGGAGTTTTATATTAGCATTTGATAGTATATGAGAAAGTAAAAGTTAATGCTCTATCTCTAGTTTGAATACATCAAGAAACACAAATGAGAGGAAAAGGTATGACCTTATGAGGAAATCAGCTGATGCAGCTAAGATGGACAAGATGTCTGAAGGTGAGAATAGCTTAGAAATCCAGAAAATCAAATAGGTCGGCTAGTTTTGAGAGTAAATATATTTGTACCTCACAACTATATAGACCAGTCTTTGCCATTCTGCTTACCTTACCCTATCTAGATAGCCATACGCTAAACTTCATTCTGCAAGTGCCCACCATCAAATCTCATTCTCAAGTAAGATTTACCTCAATTTGCAGAACTCAAGCCAGAAATCCACCAAAAATCCAACCCAGAGTGCATCAAAGATTTGAGAAAATTTAGACTCTATCATTGCCAAAAGCAGTACGAATGTTTACATTAAAATTTAGATAAGTTTCTTACTAACGATGAGGCTCGAGAAATAGTTGAGCTGCATAAACAGCTGTTGTATGCTGATAGAGAAATTATTGTACAAGCACAGCAGCCACATGACTCCAAGGCCAGCCCTAATGAGCTGCAAGAGAATCCCTTCTTGGAGAAGGACGAAGACTCAGAGTACGAAGACTCTGAGACTGATGACCAGAAGACCAGGATGCTCAGACAGCTGAAGAGGTCGGTTGATGTCATGCACAAGTTCAGATGTGCCAAGCTAAGTACAGATAGAAAGGAACAGGCTGATGCCAGTGAGGTAGGTGGGATAGTGGTGAGAGTTTAGTCAGGAGTCAGCACGATGAGCGTCAGAAGAATCATTCAGTCACCTTTGGTAAGGATTTTTTGGTTTTTGTGATTTTGAAGAGTTTTGCTTTTTTATCACATTTTTTTAGAAATTGTCTTTAAGTCAGATATTCCAAGGTTATGAGAATGAGGAGCTTACGAATGATGAAATAAAGCGCAAGTTCTACAAAAGATTGGGGCGGGATATCCATTTCCAGCCCAACTATGAACATAATATTAATATAATCTCATAAATGTATCAATTTTTGGTTTTCTTTTCAATTTTACAAATAAAATGAGGGGTTTTGGGGTTTTGGGGTTTTGGGGTTTTGGGG